ATAAAGCAAAAATTACACAAAAGTGTGAAAGACAAAAATATATATATATATATATATTTATAAAAAAGTGAAAAATTTACAAATATTAAAATAATCACTAGTTTTTTTTTTGGGTGAATTTTTAAATTTTTAATTTTAAATTTTTATCTTCCCTACTTTCTCAAAAATAAGAGTCATCAGATATATCATGTAATGTCTACATCAATTGAGGTACAACAACCAACCTCATTTCTTCAACGTGTTAATATAAATTTATGCAAATGTTGAAGATGTACCCAATCAAATAAAATTTTCTATTTTACTATCCAATTAAAGCATTTTGCTTTATAAAATTCCTATTGCTCAAAAAATTCTGTTTTATTTGATTTTCAGATGTGTTTTTTTTTTATTTTTTTAATCTTAAAACAAATTTAGTAAAAAAATAGAAAATAAAAAATACTCATAATTGTTATATCATTTTACATTTTTTGAGGGTGAAAATAATTTTAAAAATATATTTTTATATTTTCAGAAAAATTTTAGAAAATTGATTTTGGAATGAAACCAAATAGTGTTAACAAATATTTTTGGAAAAAGTATTTTAAAAATGATTAAAAAAATAAAAAATCAATAAAAAGTTTTCCAGATTGGTGAAAAGTGCTTTAACTTTTTCAGTTTTTTTGGTTTGGGCTTCATGACCACTTGTTAGAAAAACCCAATCTATAAATACTTACATCAAAATCATAGATAAAATTGAACGAAAATGCAATTTTCGCATTCAAAGATGGTATTGCCATGGTTAACATTACCTCTTCTCAATAACTTTGATAATGAGATTCATTACGTTTATGTGGAGGTTTAGGAGGGAACATTAAGCCTCCGTTTGAGAAGCGGGTGGACTTTTTGGCTTTTTAGTTATTTTAGTTTGGGGCTAAAAAGCCTGATTTGGGAAGGATTTTTTGACTTTTTTGACTTTTTTTGTGAGAGAGGAGTGCAATGATTATTGGTTGGATTTGATGTTTTATTTTTTGTGGCTAAAATAACTTATTTTATTTTTTGTAATTATTTTAGCCCCTAACCCACCAAAACCAACTTTCTAAAAACATTAGTAATTTATGAAAAATATCACATGACAGTAACTAACCTTTTGTCCACGATTAATAAATTAAGTCTCATAATCTAATCATGTGATTCGCATCTAAAAAAAAGCAAAAGAAATTTTTTTAATCATATGATGTAAATCATGGAAGATAATTTTCTCCAATAATTTTTTCATCCAACTACTATCTAAGTAGTCGGTGCAAACACATTTCAAATCCAAATTCAAACTCAAATTTTATGGATGTATGAGATCAATTGTGAAATCATGGTGAGGGTTTTCAAATTTCAATCTTTAATAATTTTTTAGATCTCGATCTCCATATATGCTTGAGATTTTGTTTGTTGATTGGGAATGATGCAGTAGTTGAGAAGAGAAAGGTGCGTAGGTAAAGTATTAAATAGAGAAGTCGACTGGCTTTGGGAAGAGATAGAATGGGAAGGAGAGGAAGAGGTGGGGGTGGTATAAGGATGATAAATATGAAGAAAGGGCAAGGCTATTGAAGTGTAGGGTTATGCGACACCATTGAGAGATGGTGGTGGTCAGTAATATGGGGAAGAGGGTTGGGTAGGTGTGAAGAGAAATAGAGAGATTTCTTTTTATATAGTTAATTGGAGGGTTAAGACTGTTTGGGTGGATAAGGCTCATCATAGGTTTCGTTTCGATAATTTGAACTGTTGATTTTATTAGATATTCTGTATATTTTATCAACACAAAAAAAATAGCAATTTATTGTATGATAATCATAACCTATTCAATTTATTATATTTGTTACCAAAAAAAATAACAATCGTGTTTTTAAAAATAAATTATTTATTTTTTTGGAGACAAACGAAATAAATTGAATAAGTTATGATTATCAGATTAATCTAATTTTTTGTATTATAAAATACACGAAATACTAGATAAAATGAACATTTAAAATTATCAAAATAGGATCTATGATAGACCTTACGGATTCAAACAATGCCCTTCAATTCAAATTATGAACCGGAAGGAATCTGCCTCCTATTTTAATAAAAGCCTAACTACAAACGGGTGACATCTAAGGCTAGATTCAAAAGAGCCAAGACATCAGAGGTTACCATTTAGAGGTGCTACACAGCAAAAATTATTCAGCCTCCGTTTGGGAAGTGTGTTGACTTTTTGGTTTTTTTGACTATTTTAGCCTGGGCTAAAAAACTTGATTTGGGAAGGGTTTTTTGGCTTTTTAGTTTTTTTGACTTTTTTGTGAAAGAAGAGTGTAATGATTATGGGTTGGATGTGATGTTTTATTTGTTGTGGCTAAAATAGCCTATTTTGTTTTTTGTGGCTAAAATAGCCAAAAAAAGCCTGGAAACCTTCTTCCCAAACGGTGCCTTAACTATGTAGCGGTAAGTCACAGATTTGTACACAGGCATTTGAACCTATACTTTTGATACTGGGTATATTTTGCCGAGACTTGGAAGATTTGTCCTACCAACCATATGTGTTGTCGCCTAAATAAATAGCTTTGGGATAGTCAAACATGAGACCTTGCGTATGTTAACCCAAAATCTTATCACTTGACTATGCCCTTGGATTTCTGCCTCCTATTTTTATATAGAGGAAATTAAAAAATACATTTCTTAAAATTTATTTAAAATATGAATTGTTTCATATAGTTTGAAAAATTATAAATACTCTCTTGTTAGAATATTTTATTTAACAGAATTAATTAAAAAAATTGAAATTCCTTACTACTCTCCTAAAAAATAATAAAATTACTTAAATTATTAGTTGAAATAAATTTATGACATCATTAAAAACTATTAATTAACTTAATGGTTTATTAATAAAAAGAAGGGTAAATTACAAATACATCCCATGAGGTTTGCTTAAAATACAGGTTAGTCCCTGTAGTTTGAAAAATTACAAATACTCCCTTATTAGAATTTTTTATTTAATAGAATTAATTGAAAAAATAAAATTCATAATTGTTCTCCTATATAATAATAAAATTACTTAAATTATTAATTGAAACATATTTTTAATATCATTAAAAACTGTTAATTGACTTGATAATTTATTAATAAAATAGACAATTTGTTATGAAATTAGAAACTTCAGGGAGAATGTAATTTTCAAAATCACAGGAGGCGATTCGTGTTTTAATAAAACCTCAGGGGATGTGTTTGTAATTTATCCTAAAAAGAATTATTTGTTATAAAATTAGAAATCTCAAGAGACGAAATGTAATTTTTAAAATTAAATGATACAATTTATATTTTAAACAAATCTTATTAGTGTATTTGTAATTTAGAACTTGTTTGGAGTGTGCTATATAAGCACATTTTTTATCTTTTTATCTTTTTTTAGGTCACATCACTTCTTTATTTTTTTGTATATTTATTCATAAAATGTTAAAAAGTACATTTATTTAAATCATTTCAAATAACCTCATTACACCCAAGTGAAGTTTGTACAAAATATTTATAAATTAATGATAATTTTTTTCATTTATTTATATTTATTTTGAAAAAAAGTACCTGATGAGTAATTTTGGCTTTTATATATTGGAATAATGTTTTAGAACACTAAATTGGGAGCTCTAGAGCATTACTAATGATGTGGCACAGTGGCTCCCACCAAAGTGATGTGATGTTTTGGCTTGAGTTTTTTTTTTTTTTTTTAAAATAAATAAATTTAATAAAAATAGAATTAAAAAAAATATTTTTACCTTCTAAAAAGAAAAAATTTTATAAAAATTATAAATTTTTATTTTTTTTTCACATAACTAATTTTGAATTTTTTAGAAAAAAAATTTGGGACAAATTTCTAAAATTTAAACCAAACATTTTTCTTTTTATTTTTTCTCTGTTGTTTGGCTTTTCTATAATTTTTAATATTTGATACAACAAAAAAAGAAAGTCAATAAAAAATATTTCTCATGGTCAATAAAAAATTAAATTTATTTAAGCAAAAAATATTTTTACTTTTAAACAACAAAAAGTGTTTTTTAAATTAAAATTCGGCAATGCTACGTAACTCAAATTTTGTGGCTCAAATGGCCAAAACGACGTCGTTTTGGCCATTTTTATGTTGTTCTGTACTCAAAACGACGTCATTTTGACCATTTTTATGTTGTTCTGTACTCAAAACGACGTCGTTTTGGTCATTTGAGCCACTTTTGAGCCACCAAATTTGAGCTACGAGACATTTTCCATTAAAATTTTATCAACGTCTGCACACCACCATCATCATGGCCACAAGCACAATCAGCATTGTCATCACCATCACGGTCACCCCACTATCGTGTCATCACCTTCACATCCACATTCGTTCCGCCACTACTATCACCAAACATAGAAAAATGTTTTCACTATGTTTGGTTGATAGATTTGAGAAGTGATTTAAAAAGAAAAATGAAAAATATAAGTGAAATGTGAATAAATTACACTTACAATTAATATAGTTTCACATATTTTTTTCATTCATTTTTCAAATTTGTTTCCAAATCCCTCAATCAAACACCACGTTTATAAAAAAAAAAACAAAAACACCACCATTATAAAAAAAAAAAGTATCTAAAAATATTTTATCTTCCTTTAAAAAATCTAAGAGTATTTTTTAAAAAAAATAATAAAATAATCTGTGAATGATGAACAAAGGATTCGTTTGGAATGTGAGTTAGTTTTTTGATTTTTTTAACTTTTTAGCTATTTTATTTTGAGATTAAAAAATCTCATTTAGAATAATTTTTTTGATTTTTTTGACTTTTGTAAAAGAAAAAATAAAATAATTATGATTTAAATGTGATATTTTATTTTATTAAATTAAAAAACTTATTTTATTTTATTTTTTTAAACTATTTTAATAAAAAAAAAAAAACCTCATTTTTAGGCTAAACGATGGCAAAATATGCATATTACGCATTACAATGTCCTTATCTTTTTTAATCCCAATGTCCTAAAACAGACAAACCAAACAAGCATTCCTTGATTCCCCCCATCTCTCTCTCTTCCTGTCTCTCTCTCCTCTCTGCAATCACGCTTTGAAGTCCAAATACAAAAGCTTCAACACTCCCAAATCCTTCTCTCTTGTCATTCCCTTCAACTACCCCCAAAACCCCCCTAAACCCCCTTTGTAATTTTATCATTAATCGAACTAGAATTCTTTAACTCGAAGTCATGGTTGATTACTCGACCCAACTCATCGATGGGAATGGCGAGTTCAATGTTACTGGTCTCGACAATTTCATGAAAGCTGTCAAGCTCCGCGAATTGGGTCTCTCATACGCCGTCGTTGCTATCATGGGTCCTCAAAGCAGTGGTATGTATTTTGATTCAATTAGTTGTGTTTGTATATTCTATGTGTTAATTGAACTCTGGGTTTTAGTTTTCATGTCCAATTTTTTATGGGTTTGTGATCAAAATTTTCTTTTTTTGGTTGTAAAATGGTTAAATTGTTTTGATCTGGTGAAATTTGAGTAGTGTTTACAATTTGGGGTTTTAGATTGTATGCCCAATATTTGGGGGTCTGAGGCTGGTTTATGATCTGAGGGATTGAATTTATTTAATTTTTGGAAGATTGGATTGCATTTCATAGATACATCATAAGAATCTGAACTTAGTTTCTTTGTTTATTTGATTGTTTAGATTATGGACTTTTAGATGATATGTTACTAATTTTTGTGTTTTAGATACTCATTCACATCAAGATAAAGTAGGGTTTTTGAGTTATCGTGTTGATTAATGTTAAGTGTCCTAAACTAATGAGGTACACTCGTGCAAGTCTTTGAAAGTCTTTAATCATCGGCATTGTCTTTGAAAGTCTTTAATTTTCAGCATTTGGATGCTTAGAACTATATACCTAACCTAGACACTTGCCCCTCAACATTTTGTCTGTGGAAATTGCCACAATATTAATTCAATCTGAATAAATTAATTTGAAACTAGACTCAACTTGCTATTATTGAATAGATTAGTTGTTCAAGTTTGAGGTACTTACTTGTGCTTGCTTGCATCCCAAGCAATCTTTCTTTCATTTAAGGCACAAAAGTGCACATATTTTTTTTGCGGGATATAACATGTTTTTTTTGAATGAGGGCTTTACTATTTTTGTTTGATTTCTTGCTGTTCAATCACTTGTTTTGGTTTCATCCAATCACTTCTTTACATGTGATTTCATCAAATAGTGTACAAAGGTTACAAGCCAAGTATCTCGTGGTTCGTTGTGTGTGCGCGTATTTCTATCTATGAATATACTATGCATGTTATTTATATGCTAAGGCACTAAGGGAATGCTTTCTATTTGAACAGGGAAGAGCACACTATTAAATCATCTTTTCCATACACGTTTTAGGGAGATGGATGCATTCAAGGGAAGGTTGGTTTTTCATTTTTAATATTCTTGAAGTATCTCAATTTTGTATTATTCTATGAAGATAATTTTTTCTGTTTTAAATTGTTTATTTGTTTCTCTCGCTACTATTTGCATTCATCGTGTTACGAGGAGACATGCAACATAAATTATTTTGTTGCAGGAGTCAAACTACGAAAGGCATTTGGATAGCCAAGGCTGTCGGTGTTGAACCTTGCACAATTGTCATGGATTTAGAGGGTACTGATGGGAGAGAAAGAGGCGAGGTAATGACCTCGACATTGATTTTTCTTTTCCTAAGAAGGAATAATAGACAAGATGGAGCTCACCTATAGTATCTTATACTTCACTGCTATTCCATTTTAAAATTGTTATGGAATATTTGTGTAGAGTAGGGGTTGAAATGACGTGCTTCAAGGACACTTAGCTATTACTGATCCCATTAGATTAGAATTAAGGGGAAAGAACATTGAATGGCAGTTCTTCTTAGCTCGACTACATGCATTTGTCCTCTTGGTTTGTTTTTTATTTTTGTTTTTATGTAAAATTATGTTGAAATCACAGGGTAGATGATGTTGGCTGGTTTAATACTTCATGGGGTAAAATGGATGCTTGTCACAAGTTATTAGCCAAGAAGCACAAACATGGACACTCCACATGACATGAACATATAGACACAACACAATTTGCATAAAATACAGGACACGACACGTGGGGACATGTGCAACATTACAATTTTTTTTTTTAAAATATTTATTATATGTCATATATAGACTCCCATCTCAAATTTTATATTTATTATATGTCATATATATATTAATCTGTTCCTATCCCAGAGTCAAGTCCCATCCTCAAGTCTTTTCCCCTTGCATTTGTACATGTTTGTTTGTGTTTTTTAAGGGGAAAGCAGACACTTCCCTTTCAATGCTCAACTTATTTCTCATATTTGATTAGCTATCTCATACTTCAGTGGTAAATTTTGTCAATTTCAGGATGATACAACATTTGAGAAACAAAGTGCTCTATTTGCTTTGGCAGTTTCAGACATCGTATTGATAAATATGTGAGTATTCAAGTTTCTTATTAGGTGTTCTATGTTTATCCTAGCTTAATGCTTGTGTGTCTTTGTTGGGGATTAGGATTGGTGATATGAGTTTCGTCCACTTAGGGACAAATTTGTTTTGGAAAAATGTGCTCCATCCGTCCTTGGCACAACCGGGCAAGAAACAAAATTTCATTTCATCTCCATCGAATTGGCTGATACGTTGATGTTTCTTAGGAAATTGAAATGAAACATTAGTGGAATACCGAAATTTCAATTTCAATTTCAATTTCAATTTTTTCACCAACACATACCAAAATCTACGAAACAATGATCTTTTTCTATTTGCATCTTTTTGTCTAAAGAAAAATGTGAGAATAAAGAGAAGTATCAAATTTATTAGAGAATTTGAGAAACTAGGTAAGATAAGAGAAGAGATAGATGGGAGAAGATAAAACAAGCATGATTAAATCAAACCAAGTCTTAAGTACCATTGAATGAGGTCGGCTGCATGAATCCCTTCTTCTCTACTCGACTCTATTCAAGGCCATTTTATCAGTCAAATTAAGGAGATTCATATTTCTATTCATTATATTAGTTCACATCAATCTTAGTCTACCCCTTTCCTTAACACTACTATCTACCGTCACCGCATCACATCTCTTCACTACTACCTTTGTTGGTCTTCGTTGTATATGACCAAACCATCTCAATCTATTCTCTCTCAACTTATTTTCTATCGGTACTACTCCTATCTTTTCTCGAATATACTCATTCCTAACTCTATCTTTTCTAGTCTTGCCACACATCCACCTTAGCATCCTTATCTTAGCAACACTCATCTTATTTACATGTTGTTTCTTAGTTGTCCAATAATCAATCCTATACGACATCACTGGTCTAATAGTTGTTCTATAAAACTTCCTTTTTAGTCTAATGGGTATTCGTTTATCGCACAGTACTCCAAACGCACTCCTCCACTTAACCCACCCCGCTTTAACTCTGTGGATCACATTCGTTCCAATCTCCGCGATCGTTGAGATAATCGATCCTATATACGAAAATGTTTACTCTTAGGTAGTTCTTGGTTCTCAATCTTCACTTTTCCTCTGCTTCTATTGTGACTGTTACTGAAATTACACTCCATATACTCTGTCATAATTCTGCTTATCCTAAATCCTTTAGATTCAAATCCTTTTGTCCAAATCTGCAACTTAGTGTTAATTTCTTCTCTAGTCTCATCTACTAACACGATATAATCTGCAAAGAGCATATATCATGACACATCATCTTGAATATCGTCAACTCATCCATAACTAAAGCGAAAAGATAATGACTTAAGGTTGATTCTTGATGTAACCTTAAAGTAATTGGAAATTTATTCGTCTCTCCAGCAGGCGATCTAATAGCGGTTACCACACCTTCATATATATCCCTAATCATATCAATGTAATCTTTTGTCACTCATTTCTTCTCTAACACCCATCAGACTATATCCCGAGACGAGACACTCTATCATCTATCATATGCTTTCGCAATATCGATAAAAATAAAACAAGCATGATTAAGTTACTTAATTTGAGAAACTATGTAACTGGACTTAATTATGCTTGGTGTTAATTTATTAGAGAATTTTTTGCTTTACTTGCTCCTAGTTGGAATAGTTAGATGGTAGCTTGTAAATGGTCAAGTTAATTTTGGTAATTCTATAATGAATCATTTACAGTAAGGGGTGTTCATACCATTATGTGATGTGACTTCTGATTGATTTAGAGGAACTAGGATTGAACTAAATTCTGGGATAAACAAATTAAAAAAACTGCTGCTATCCAACAATACACATTAGTACTTAAATTTTTTCTCATCTTGTTTGGTCACGAGCTACTGTGACAGTATTGAGTTATTACATCAAATGTCAATTGGATGCCTGATATGGGATTGCCAGGTGGTGCCATGATATTGGTCGGGAGCATGCTGCCAACAAGCCTCTCCTAAAAACAGTATTCCAGGTTCTGACACTTCAAGTTTTTGTTCTGGTAATCATGTTGTAAATAATTCGCGCCATGACAATCTGTTGACTGCTGCCATATAGGTCATGATGCGATTATTTAGTCCGCGCAAAACTACTCTTCTCTTCGTAATACGTGATAAAACAAAGGTATGGTACTTTAGGAGTCTATTTTCTTGAATTTTTTTTCCAATTACCTAATCTTGTCCTTCTAAAGGTACCTTTCCTGTTCGATTTTGAATCATTCTGTTTTCGTGATTGTTCGTGTAGACACCACTTGAACATTTGGAGCCTGTTCTGAGGGAAGATATTCAGAAGGTACATCTGTGCTTATCTCTCCCTCCTCCTCCCATAACATGACCAGAATTATATTATTTACATTTTCTCTTATCATTGATTATACTTTTGCAGATATGGGATACAGTTTCTAAGCCACAGGCTCACAAGGACACACCTCTCAGTGAATTTTTCAATGCAAGATATAATCTCTGTCTCTCCCTCTCTCTGGTCTGTGGTCTGTGCCTTTTTCTTTTTTTTTTCTGACTTTAAAATTTTCATGGGCGTGAAGGTGGAGGTCACTGCTTTATCTAGCTATGAGGAGAGGGAACAGCAGTTTAAAGAGCAGGTGGATCCTTTAGCATAAAGTGCTTATTTAACTTTCTTTGGCTGCCGTGATAATGGCTTGTGATTTTGTCAAATGTCTAGCATTGCATCACTGTTCCAGCATTTAGTTCTGGTCGTTGATAAGCCCTCTCTATATTTGCAGTCAATGCATGTAATCTTCAATCCATACTTCTACTTAGCTAGCTCTGTTATGTAAAAACCTCCAAAGATTGGCTGATAAAAAAGAAAGAAAAAAAAAAAACCTTCAAAAATTCAAGATATTTATCCCTTTATAAATTATTAATATATATATTCTTTTAAAGTAAAATTACTGGGCAGAAATAAAAAAGAGCATCTTCTTAAAATCAAGATACTATTATACTAATATGATGGTGTGAGAACAATCATATTCCACTTCTCTCACATTATTCCCTTATAATCTCACTAAAAATGTTAGATTCTTAAACAAGTTTGACGTTGGTTAAAAAGAGTTTTAATATTTGCTAGTGGCTATTGAATCGAATTTGGAAGGCAAATTTGTGAGTATTTGAAATGAGGAGGACCTTTGTCCAGTAAATGTTAGAGCCAACTCTTTCTTTCATATTAAGGTACGGATCTGGTTATCAATTTACAGAATCGGAGTGAGAATTGCCTGTGTCTATATGTCTTTCCATATTAGTTATTTATAGTTTTATAGAGGATTTACAGTCTTTCAGCCTTATGTGCCCTCTTATACAGGTTGCTCAACTGAGGCAGCGTTTTTTCCATTCTATTGCTCCAGGAGGGCTTGCTGGTGATAGAAGAGGAGTTGTTCCTGCATCAGGATTTTCTTTCAGTGCACAACAGATATGGAAAGTTATAAAAGAAAACAAGGATCTAGACCTTCCTGCTCACAAGGTCACACTTTTTTCTTGCCATTTGATTGATAAGGAATTGTTTGGTTTGCGTATGCATTTTGTCTCTTTTGTCTTGCATAATATTTATATGGGTTTTTGATAATCAGGTCATGGTTGCCAGTGTCCGGTGTGAAGAGATTGCCAATGAAAAGCTCAGTTGCTTGACCTCTGATGTGGTAATTGTGCATCTGTTTGCTGTTCATGAGTTGCTGTCCTCTAAATGAGAAACCATTCTTTAAGGAATACTTGATTCTTCTTGATTTATTACAGGGTTGGGTGGCATTGGAGGAAGCTGTTCGATCTGGTACAGTATCAGGTTTTGGGAAGAAGCTAAGCTCAATAATAGAAACCTATCTTTCAGAGTAAGTTTAAGGTCTCAAATGAGTAACTCAGAAATAAATCGGCTTGAGTTTTGACGTGGCTGAATTCTTTACTGCACAATGTGCAGTATCCACAAAAAAAGAAAAAGAAAAAAAAAGGTCTACTAAGCTACCCGGACATGATATTGTTGAAATAACTGAACTACCATAGCCTATGAAACACCAGAAAATATATAAGAAACTGATACGATTAATATCTGACCTAAATAGTTATAAATCAGATTCTAATGAGTAAAAACTCAATAACGCAAGGTTGCAAGTAGGTTCCCTTGGGAACAATTATCTTCCCTCGTACTTTTCCTGCTTTGCCTCTTTTGTTTCTAGTTCTTTATCAAATGAACTAATTTTCTTTATTTACTCAATGTTTGCATTTTCCATAGATATGATATGGAGGCTTTCTACTTTGACGAAGGTGTGAGAAAGGCAAAGCGACAACAACTAGAGACAAAAGTATTACAGGTAAGAAATACATTTGTGTCATTTTATCATCTTCATCATATTTTGTAAGGCCATTAGAGAGACTAGACATCATGGTAGTTTTTGTTTGTTTGCCTATCTATGTTATATGCTCACTGTTTTATGTATTATGCAGTTAGTGCATCCTGCTTACAGTACCTTGTTGGGACATTTACGTTCTAAAGCACTTGAGAGTTTTAAGACCCACCTTGAACAATCATTGCACAGAGGACTAGGATTTGCTGATTCTGTTCGCAACAGCACTAAGGCTTGTATGCTTGACTTTGAGCAGAGTTGTGCAGGTACTGCATTAAATGCATTGCATTAGACTGCCTTCTACACATAAGTTAATGCGTTAGATATATGTGCTTAAATTTGTTCTTTCATTCTGGATTTGAAATACACAGCTGTAAAGGAATTTAATTAACTTTTGCCTCGTGTAAACTGACTGCTATAATTTAGCGGATGGAATGGTTTGTAATTTGCATATAGGCAAATGATTTGAACCTAAAATTTGAAAGCAAAACAATCTAATATATCTTGTTTGTTTGATCATTATTTGGGCTCTTTCCAAGTCCAAATTCCCCTCTCCATCCCCATGTCTCCTCTCTTGCATCCACATAGAAAGGGAGGAAGGATTTTTTTGTTTTAGAGGAGACGGCACAAGCATTGAAGTTTATAATTACAAATACAAAGATTGAAGAAGGCAGAAATATTTAATTTCAAGCCTCAAAGGTCTTAAATGAAATCCTCATGAACAAAAGAAAAAGTAAGATCGGGAACACCAATTTTTTGGGTGTCAGGCTGATTGGCCTTAACTCAGCTGTGTATCACACAGTATGGTACATCGTTGGATGTGAATTGTAATATATGGTAAAAGCATTGAGTTATCAATACAAAGAATAAAAAAGATAGTATTGTAATGTATAGTGAAAGCATTGTAATGTATGGTGAAATGGCATGGCATGTGAGCATCCTGTTGCAAGGTATAGTAGTACCCCACCATACATTACATATTGAAATGACATGTATTCGTACTTTAACATTCAATATGTATTGTATATAATAAAAAATACTAATGACACTGGTTAACAGAATTGTTTTCCAACGGTGCTGAGTGAGCTCATATTCAACTTCAGCAAACTCATATGCTTATTTCCATTGGCAGTGAACTTTTGAAGCTTGACATCTTTTATTCTAGTATATTCATGGTGTCTCGTCATGTTTAAGCTGCCTCATTCTTATTGAAAAACGAAATATTAAGCTATATGACTTTTGAGCATATTTACCTTTTGCTTGAAATTTATGATCCAGACTTTCTAATTTTGCATAGAAATAAAATGTTGAGGTCCATTTAGATTCTTGAAGGTGAAACTATTGGAAATTTTTTAAATTTTTTTTTGTCATTCTTGTTCATTGGTATTCAAATTGTGGTAGCTAGCATTCCAGAATCTACTCATTTCCACCTCTTACTATGATTCCTTAATGTCAGATGCAACCATAAAGCAAGCTAATTGGGATGCTTCAAAAGTCCGTGAGAAACTTCGTCGCGACATTGAGGCACATGCTTCATCTGTTCGTAGCGCAAAATTGTCAGAAATTGTAGCTAGTTTTGAGGTATTTATCATTCTGATGGGGCAATTCATAAGCGTTCTTCCAGCCAAACTTTTCTTTCTTTCTTTCTGTTTTTTTTTCTTTTTTTCTGTATTCTTTTTCCTTTTTTTCTTGAGATTACCTAGTGGAAACCTTTTTGACTTGCAGAAAAAACTTGGTCAAGCACTGGCTGCACCTGTGGAGTCCCTTCTGGAGGCTAGCGAAAAAGATACTTGGTCTTCTATAAGAAGGCTTCTAAAACGTGAGACTGATGTTGGAATATCAGAATTTTCATCTGCTCTCACCGGTTTTGAGTTGGACCAAGCAACATTTGACAAAATGGTTCAAAATTTAAGGGACTATGCGAGAAGTGTGGTTGAGAAAAAATGTAGGGAGGAAGCTGGGAAAGTTCTGATTCGGATGAAGGATAGGTAGCCAATTTAATGGTGGAATATTTTTCATCCAAGTTCTCCAATGCTTCTCTCTTCTTATGGGTCCTTATTACTTTATACATGTATTTAGGTTTTCGACAATCTTCAACCATGACACTGATTCAATGCCAAGGGTTTGGACTGGAGCGGAAGATATTAGAGCAATCACTAAAGATGCTCGCTCTGCGGTAATCTGCAGATCTTTCATTACTGGGACTTTATATTATTAACTCTCTGCATAATATGGTTTTTTCTGAATGTAATATTTTGTCAACATATTGCAGTCACTGAAGCTTTTATCTGTTATGGCGGCCACACGCTTGGATGAGAAACCAGATAAGATAGAGAATGTACTTTTCTCATCGCTCATGGATGGAACAGTTGCCTTGCCTTCTTCACAAAATAGGGGCATTGGAGATTCTGCAGATCCTCTTGCTTCAAGCTCGTGGGAGGAGGTAGGAAGTGTATACTATTTGTTACCCTCTCTGTCTGTGTGGGTGTGCCAATATTTTTCAGTTGACTGATTACTCATTAAGAAGCAAACTTAACCAGGTACCTCCAGAAAACACACTGATTACGCCTGTGCAGTGCAAGTCTTTGTGGAGACAGTTTAAGGCAGAAACTGAGTATACAGTCACTCAAGCTATTTCAGCCCAGGTACATAATTATAAACTGCCATGATTTTTCATTATTTTCTTCTTCTTTCAAGGCCCTGCCTTTCATTTTACTTTGATAGATGTTTGTACACAAACAATGGATTAAAAGGAAGTAGGAATTTTTTTTATTTGTGAGGTTGCATGTTTATTACCTGGGTATGACCTCTAGTTGTTATATATACAATTGCATGGTTTTGTTACTGCACCATACATGGTGCCAGAGTCTGATTCTATCCATTCGTTAGCACAATGGCCACAACATGCTTAGGGCAAGTTCTGTACCCCTCATAATACCCTTTCATGTCAACTGATTTTGCTGCTAAAACTGCTGTTCTATTCTTGGTTGAGTATGCGAGTTTCACTGTGCTCTTTGATTATGAGTAAATTGCCATTAAATTTTCTTAAAACTATATTGAATTGTGATCAAGTTGCAATTGATGCGTGGTGGTGTGACAATCAAATTGTCTGTCTCCAATACATCAAACTGAAGCAAATGCTTGATTATGTATGCTCTCTGTTTTTAATTATATCCTTGTGCAAGTGAGCCAATTTGCATGTTCAGCTTGTGCATTTTTGTTCCTCTTACCTTCCATTCTTGGTCACTCATCTACGATAACTTTGCTTGATTCTTTAAATGCTGTCTCCTAAAGCTCTTATGTACAATACTGTTTGTTTGTTCAGGAGGCTCACAAGCGCAACAACAACTGGTTACCTCCTCCATGGGCTATCATGGCAATGGTTGTTCTCGGGTTCAATGAATTCATGCTTCTTTTAAAGTAATTACATCAAATCTAGGAACTTTACACTATATATTTCTTAAGTTCACATTTAGTTTGACTGCCTTTTATTTCTCATTTTGCGTGCCCCTTTTACTAATAATCTGTTTTTATTTTTTTCTGCTACTATAACAGGAATCCTCTCTACCTCATGGCCTTATTTGTTATATACTTACTTGCAAAAGCCTTATGGGTACAAATGGACATTGCTGGGGAGTTTCATCATGGCCCTGTGAGTAAAGAAGATATTAGGATAATTCCTACAATTTTTTCTTTTATTTTTATGTTTGGAACTCTCTTAAGAAAACAAATATATCTTGTGTATCATCCTCACCATATGATCCTCCAAGCATTGATTTCTGAATTACATACTTGTTTTAGGTTAAACTAGTTCAAATGTGGATGGGAGCTAAAAAAAAAATTGTTTATACTTCACTATGTAGTTCTCTATAATGTTCTCTTACATTTTTTTGTTGATAGAGCCAGTTCTGAAGATTGTATACTAACACTGATTGATCTTTAGCTGCCCTTAACCCCCAACTCAATGTACCTGACCCCAGAGTACTACTTTTGTTCATGCATATATGCAAAATGGTTAGCATATGTTAAATCTAGAGTAGATCAGTCTCGCCCCAGATCACACCACACAAGGTCATGTACGGTGCAAAGCAAAATAATTTTGTATGATTAAGGCTTGGATGAATTGAAAACCTGTGATTTGGCTCCTGGAGTAAAGATCCAAAGAATAGAGATGAAAACAACTGTAGCTTGCCCTAATGACCATATCTATAGGGCTGAGGAGCAAAGAAAGAGAAGTGTGGTGCTGCAAAAGACTAAATTTGAAGGATTTCTGAGCTCATCCAAAAATTACACTTTTGTCTGTAATTTCATCCCTTTTCTTTTGTTTGCAGTTGGCTGGACTTCTTTCCCTCTCATCGAGGTTTCTTCCCACCGTCATGAACCTTCTGAGGAAACTTGCGGAAGAGGCTCAAGGGAATCCGGCTCCTGAAGCACCAAGACCACCTCAGCCACTGGGTTCTCATAATTTCAAAGGTCAAACACAGCAGCCAAACACAGTATCAAGTTCGGTTCCTGTTTCATCTGTGTCATCTAACATTTCATCAACTGAAAGTGGTGATGAATACTCAAGCCCTCAGCTGACACATAGGCGAGTTTCAAATGTTGAACAAGCTGAATCTTCTTGATCGTAAAAATGATTCTTGTTTGTGTTCTCTTGTATACTAGAATAGGAAGGATATACTCTGTTGTGTATTTTTTGTTTTGAAAAAAAAAAAAGAACAAGGAGAGGGGAAAGGTATTGAAATGTGTTTTTCCTGTTTTAGGATGAAGAGATCAAAACAAAATTGAGGGGGACCTGTGTTACATTTTTAATTATGAAGTATTTATACTGAATGTTTCAAATTTCAATAAGACACAAAGTATTTGGATGTTGAAGCATCAAGTTCAGCATCATCCATTAAGATATATTGTTGAATTGTATTGCTTCCCTTAAATGCTGTTATTTGGCCTTTTGTGGAGGGTAGTTATACCTTGTTTGTCTTAAACCCTAAATTCTAAAATATACATATATGCATAAGTTTAGATTTGTGTTAGCAATTCAGATATTCTTTGATTAAAAATATTTCTTTCAAGAAATTCAACTGTGATGATGTGTGCCTGACGTGGCATGACAAAGATTAATTTGACAAAAATGTCCTCCCCTTCACTTTCAATACACCTCCTAGCTCTCTACCGTTGCCTCGTGTTTTATTTTATTTTATTCTTTATTTTTATTGCTGGACATTGATTGATTGTTTCTCGTTGTTCCTACTTGGAATTTAATGGTGGGTCTTCTTAGGAAAATTTATTCAGATCTCAAATAGAACAAATAAAGATTTAAAAACTAAAAGTCTAAAAACTTACATTGATCATACTGTTGCTCTTTATTTATTGGGTAAATTACATTGATTATCTTTGAGATTTAAAAAAAATACAATAAGTTTTATAAGTTGATATAATCATACTAGTTTTCTTTTTAGTCAAAACTAAAACCATCGGTCTAATGTAGATAGTGTGTAAACACATGTATAAACAATGTTAAATATACATTTTAATATAAAAGATATGATAATATTAATTATTTTTAGTGAAAGGATTAACTATATGAAATATCATAAATACCCTTTAATGTTTTTGATATATTTTAATATTAAAAATTATATTTTATAAATATTTTTTTATATTTATATAATGATGTAATACCCAAAAAAAAAATCACACACACAAACACACCGCATAGGAGTCTTTTTTTAAGTTAATCCTCACACTAGTTTTGAAAACCCAAAACCAGCCTTACTAATCCCCTCCTCCAAGGCCCGTCCATACTAGTTCCAAAAAACTATTAATCCCAAGCTGCAATACAACTTAATTATAATTTTTACTATAATAAAATCTTTATTTAATTTTTACTATAATAAAATCTTTAATTAATGGAAGTGTTTGGTATGTCTGATATTTGGTGTGGACGTTTCACAAAGTCTTTCTTTCATGCTATCATCACCGCCCCCCACAGCAAAAATTTATTATTACTGCCAATGTGGTCCCACAACTCCACACACAAGCGTATATATAATATATTAATTTAAATAAGTAAAAATAAAAATAAAAAATAAAAAAATTAATATTATAAATGAGATTTATTAATATTATCGGGTCTGCTTAGGAAGTGGATTGACTTTTTAGTTATTTTAACTTGGAGCTTTTAGCCTCGTTTGGAAAGGACTTTTTGATTTTTTTAATTTTTTATGAAAGAAAAAATGTAATAATTATGGATTGGATGTAATATTTTATATTAGTGAATTAAAAAATTTATTTTATTTTTTTATCACTAAAATAACCCCAACCCTACTTCCAAACAAAGCCATAATAAGTGCAATACAAAAATACTTCATGAATTTATTGACTTATAAATCTTCTACATTAAATAAATCCTCATTATAATGGTGCTGTTTGGTGTAACTGTTAAAACAGATTATAAATTATAACTTAACAGATTATAGATTATGACTTTAATTAGAAGCCGTTAATCTGTTTGGTATAGCTGTTGGATTATAGATTTAAGTTACTGAGTAGTGTTTGTTAAATAAGCTGTGAAGTAGCTTTTTCAATTAATTTTTATTTTTTATTATTCACTATTTGTCTACATTTTTCATAAAAAATAATAATAATATTTTTTAGTCTATTTGGGTCTTTTTCTATTTTAAAAAAAAATAAAAAATAAAAAAAATCTAAGAGTATAACAGTGAATTAACATGTCCACAGCAGAAGCTGATAATCAGAAGCAAGGGGTGAGCAGCTTCTCAGAATCAGCTTTTTTGACTTAAAATAAGCTGTTAGAATCAGAAGCTGTTTGAAATAAGTTTAATCAAACAATCCAAAATAACTTTTTAAAAGTCAAAAGTCATAAACTGACTCAAAAAAGTCCCACCAAACACCCCAAATATATATGCCGCCTTAGTAGCAAGAGTTTAATTAAAAGTTTTAGGTCCAAATCTTATACACCTTTTGTCATTTGTTTAATATAATAGTATATATATGTATTACATTGTTTACCCATGAATTTATAAAAAAAAAATGTAATAAATTTTACAATTTTGATGTAAATATATTAATTCTTTTTAATAAGATTAAAGGAATTAAAATTAATACAAATAATTTAAAGACACAAGAATAAGTAAGAAAAATATATATAAAGATGACAAATTATTATTTTATTCATATAACTAACGAATTATTAATAAAAATGAGTTAAGTGTTATTGTGAATTAAAATATTAATAAAATTCAATATAATTATCCCAAAGAATAATTTACTCGAAAAGTTATTTGATGATCCTAAAACACTTATGGTTATGTTTGGCATAAATTTTTTGGGTTAAAATAGTTACAAAACAAACAAACAAACAAACAAAATAAGTTAATAAAATAAAATGTCACATTCGAACCATACTTATTTTATTTTTTCTATTACAAAAATAAAAAAAACCTAAAAATTTCATTCCAAAAGAAATTTTTTAACCCCAACTTAAAATAATTTAAAAAAATTAAAAAATAACACATCTCAAACGTGAGCTGTATCAGGATGGTTATTCTGTTATCCTTAAAAAAATATTCACAAAATTAATACGTCCAACTATTTTAACTAATAAAATTCGATCGAGGCACCACTGTGTATGTGTTGGCCAAGCAAAATATAATTTTCCAATTTATTCATATATTTAAAATGTTATAAAATGACTAAAGTGCCCTTGAGTATTGGGGGTACCCTAGAGGAAGAAAAAGTGCAGGCAAGAGTCCAAAAACGAAAAGAACGACAGTGACGAGTCAGGAGGGGGTTTCTTCTCCAAGTGGATTTGTCCTCTGCGGTCAAACCCCCGTCCTTTTAGTCAAACCAAAACTCTCCTGCCATCTTTGTGTATGTGTGGACCCACACAATTGTCCTACCTGGCAGGCACCTAACAATAATAAAAAATTAAAATAAAAACAAATATTAATTAATTTATATTGCCCATAATGAGAATAATAATCAGCTTGTTTGGTTCTAATTTTTAAAAAATAATTTTTAGAAAATTTTATTTTTTTATTTTTCGTATTTTAATATTTTTAATAATTTTTTTTAATATTTAAAGTAATTTTTTTTTAATTTTTAGATACAACATAAGTACACTTAAAGTATAATATTTGTGAAAAAAATCTTTAAAAAATACACTAAATACCAAAAAAAAAATGAATACATTTTTTATATTTTTGTGTATTTATTAATTTTTTAAAAAAATTTCACAAATATTTGACTATTTAGATACATCAAAGTAATGTGCATCTAAAAAAATAAAAAAATTATTTATAATTAAAAAAATATTCACTAAAAACAAAAAACATAATTTTTAGAAAATTGAAATCAAACACACTAAATGTCTTTGTTTTTTTTTTTATTATCAGAATAATGTCTTTGGGTTATTTGGGAAAGATGGTTAAAAGTTGATTTTTTTATTTTTTTAACTTTTTTGAAAAAAAATGTGTAAAAAATGTAAGAGATAATGTGATTCAAAATAAGTTAAAAGTTGAAAGATGACTTTTAACTATATTTTTAAAATAGCCATTTGTTTGGTTAAGTTTTTTTTTTTTAGAGTTGTATATGTGATTGTTTGATGCCGCTTATTTGAATTGCTATTTATCTAATATTTTTTATTTTATTTTGAGAGTTTGTGCTTATATTGTTTAGTTTAATTTTTATTTATAATTTATTAAACAAACATAATTTTAATAAATTAAAAAAATAATAATTTTGTAAAAGTTAGGAAATAGATATTTTGATTTCTATTTTTAAATTTTAAATTATCAATTTTTAACTTATAATACAGTTAATATTTTTTTTTAAATAATAAATTGCATCGAACATCGGAGAATTTTTCTATATATATATATATGTGTGTGTGTGTGTGTGTGTGTGTGTGTGTGTGTGTGTGTGTGTTTGGTTTAATTAAAGAGAGGTGTATGGGATGGGAACCAAGCTTTAAATCAATATAAGAAATACAAATCTGGATTTTCTCAAAAGCACAAAACTGTCCTCTCCTTCAAAAAGTTCCAAATTTGGGGCTCATCTTGCAATTATGGACCATGCTTAGGGCTTCATGGGAAATGGACCATTAATATTATTCTATAATTCTTGCATGGGAAACTTTATTAGGAGGCTGAGGAGGAGGAGGCCAACCAAATGATTAGGGTAGTTAGTCTCTCTCATTTTTTAGGTCAAGTTTGGCATGATTGAAAAAAGATAAAAAGTCAAAAAATTACTATCCTATTTAAGTCACATCATCTTATTTAAGTCACATCACCTCTCTAACACATCACTTCAAACCCAACCCAAACTCAACTCATATTTCATAAAAAGTCAAAAAGTACACTTATTTAGTCTTCCCAAACTAGGCCTTTAGGCCAAGTTTAGGAAGTTATCAAAAAGTTAAAAAATTATTCAAAAAGTTAAAAAGTTATTACTATTTATCAAAAGTTAAAAATTACAGCTGCACAACTCTCAATCTTAATTTTTCTCTACACACTACTTTATATAATTTTTTAATACATATTTTTTCATAAAAAGTCAAAAAGTTAACCTAAACAATCATATTTTTTTCCTCAACTTTTTAGTCCAAAAAGATAAAAAATACACTTATTTAGGACACTCCAAACAACCCCTTAATGGATTTCTTCGCCTTGATCTTCTTTGATATAGTATAATATTATTTATGCTTCTTCTTCTACTTCTGTTTATTTTATTTTTCTTAAAAATATTATGAAGAATATATAAAATCCAGACCCTATTGTCCATTTTTCATATTGAACATCATTGCATATATTCAATAAGAATTTAATGAGGGTGAAATTCATCACAAAGATCAGAATCAATGTAGAAGAATTTATAACTATTTATTTTTAAAAATAAATATTCGTATTCAATTCAACAACAAAATACCCACCAAAGATTTTATAAGGTTTAAACATGAATTAATGCTATTAATTCAAGAAACGATAATATTGTAGTAAACTCCTAAAGTAATTATCTGTATCCAGCAAGACTACATCTATCGAATACAAGCAATCACTCATAGATCACATATATCAGTTAATGCCCAACCTTTTTGCTAATAAAAAATGGCATCTAAATGTCTACATTTACTGTTCATTTCATGACTCGCTCAATCATTGAGCTAACTATCTGGGTTTTGAAAACATGTTTCATGATTCTCAAAAGGTTAAAAACAAAAAAATTGTACTTCAATCTTAGGCATAATTTAAAATATCACAAATAAAATTACGTAGACAACTCTTGCCATTAAAATGTCACAAATAAAATTAGGTAGACATCTCCCACTGGTAATGTAAAATCTCTTATAGTTAGTGGTATCGCTCTTATACAAAATATTTATTCATAATTAAATGAACTTAATTTGAACGGCTGTGATGAGCCACTGGCAGTCAGATTCACTGTCTCTCTGATGTTGGCAATACACCTTATCACTCTCTCTCTCTCTCTCTTCCCTGTGAAATTTTTGGGGGTTGTAGCTCTGTCAGTTTGAATGGATTTGCTTGGACTTTTCTTAGAATGGTATGCTTTCTACCACCTAAGATCCTCTCTCTTTCATCTCTTTCTCTCATAAGTTTTAGAGGTTACTTTTGTGTGGGGGGAGTAGATTGTAGTAGTGGCTTGAATTAGTAGATTTAGATTTTGAACTTTTAACTTTGAAGATTTGAAGGGAGAGTGGTGTGTGGTGCTGACCAAAGTAAAGCTCTAAAAAGATGGCAAATTTTAAAGAAAAGAAAAGAAAGTGAAAAAGAGAAGAGAAAAAGAGGGTGAAAACTGCCAGTTTGCCTTTTCTCTCTTCTTGTTGGAATCTGCATAAAAAACCCTCTTCTAATTATGAGTGATTTTTGCACATTACATCACCACTTGGTTCACCCACCCATTAATGATAATTCAGTAGTTAGGCCATGAAATAATAACCTCCGAAAATAAGAAATATTTTAAATTTTTATTGGTGGGTGCAATTAATATGGGTCATCATTTGATTTGAAAGTCCATAACATGTGTGAACTGTTAAGAATTTTTTTCCTATCTAAAGAATTTTTTTCTTATCTAAACATGTACATTAAGACGAGCGAGACGAGACAAGACAAGATTGGGTGTCTCAAATAAGGCTAGAGTTGGGCTTAAGCCAGAGGGCCCGCTTGTTTTAAAAAGTAGAATAGAAGAGATTGATAGTGAGGATGTTACTAGTTAGGGGATTGTTAACAAGTGAATTAAATAAAATTGTGTTTATTTTTATGGTAGTTGTTAATGTGGGGATTATTAAATTATTACCCTATAAAAGAAATATAAAATATTAAAACAAATAAAATTATGATTTTTACTTAACAAAAAATAAAAAAACATTAAACATTAATGTTAAAAAAATGTTCAACATGTAAATAAAAAAATAAAAAATAAAAAAACTAATTCAACGAAACTAATTTCCTAACATCATCTCCACCTCATTCATCTCAATCCCAACACCAATGTCCATCTTAATCTAATAGGATTATGAATTCCATCTCTATCTCTCAAAATAAATACAATATATAATAAATCTCACCTCCATTTCAATTCCAATCGCACCTCTATCTCTTAAAACAAACAGGCCGGAGTGTTAAGGTCTGAACCGTCAACTAATCCCATGATCTCAAAAAATAAGAAAATTTTGAAGAAAAAAAAATCCAAAAGTAGGCTCGTTGAGCTTTGCCTGCAAGTCAATTTGTTAACATGTGTAGGCCAAAGCCGTTGCATAGGACTTGGGTCTAAAATTTTTGGCCTTGGGCTTAATCGACTCATAAAAAAAAAGTCTGCTAGGCACAAGTGAGTTTGGGTATCATTTTCACGGTCTGATGGTGACCCTAAATAACTTAAATGGTAAACAATCTTTAAATGACATATACTTGAATGAAAAAGTTTAAAAATATAAAAATTAATTACAAAATTAAACATAGTATTCTCTTACATGAGATTGGATTACCTTTTTGTCAGTCTCACACTTATATAATAGTGTAATATCTAATTTTGTGATTACTTTTTATACAAATAAAAGAAATATACTTGAATTTGCAATCTTAATGCATTAGAATAGAGTAAGTAACCACAAAATTAGATATAGAATATATACTAACGGATAAAATTTTACTTATTCATATACATTTCCATCCATTTATATTTTAATTTATGTGTTCATAAGATAAATTAATAATATATAAAACAAATTCCATATAACAATAGGTCGCAATTTTTTAAACTAAAATAATAAAAATAAAATAGAATACAGTAACAGTACATGACTGCACACTACAGCCATAACTGAACCCCTTTAACATGCCTTTTCTCCCTCTTCTTTTATTCACATTGCATCTCTCTCTCTCTCTCTCTTTCTCTCTCTCATGTCTTGTTAGTCTCTCTCTTGGATGATGGCCAATCAAAGTGGTGGTAACAGTTTGTTGAGGGACTACAGGAAAGGAAACTGGACAGTTCAAGAGACAATGGTGCTGATTGAGGCAAAGAAAATGGATGATGAGAGAAGAATGAAGAGAGTTGAGGAGAGTGAAGGGAGGAGCAAACCAGCAGAGCTGAGGTGGAAATGGGTTGAGGACTATTGTTGGAGGAATGGTTGTTTGAGGAGTCAAAACCAGTGTAATGACAAGTGGGACAATCTCATGAGAGATTTCAAGAAAGTGAGAGATTATGAGAGGAGATTGGCTGAGAAAGGTGGAGGAGGAGGAGATACGAGTGGTGGTGGTGGTGGTGGTGGAGGAGGGTCTTATTGGAAGATTGAGAAGCATGAGAGGAAAGAGAGGAATTTGCCTTCTAATATGTTGCCTCAGATATATGAGGCATTGGTGGAGGTGGTGGAGAGGAGAGGAGGTGTGAGGGTGGTGGTGGGTGTTGGGTCTAGTGGTGGTGTTGGTGGTTCCAATGTGGGGCATAGTGGGTATGTGGTGGAGAGATCAACAAGTAATGCGGTGGTTCAACCACCTCTATTGCTTCCTCCACTGCAACATTCAATTTCAGCTCCACCACAAACAGTATTATCCCTCCCTCCACCGCCACCGCCGCCTCCACCGGTTGCAGCAACACAACCACACAGTCTTCCACAGTCTCAGCCATTGCCCACAGTAGGTACTCTCTCTATCTCTCTCCCTCTCTCTCTCTCGATGCCAACATTGTATGCCATTAAAAATCAGTGCCTCACTTCCCTTAATCCATTGTATGCAATAGCTTATGAATATTTGAAAATAATTTTTGTTTCTTGAAAAGTAGATTGTTTTTAAAAAAAAAATTATTGAAGGAAATTATATATTTGTGTTTTGAGTAATTAATTGTTCAATCCTTGCTGTCTTTGTTAAGTGAATGGGTGGGTTTTTACCCCTCTAGCAATGGACTTCAACAAAGTCTTTTTTTTTTTTTTTGGTGGGGGGACCTTCCATGAATAATTCATGGCTTTAAATATCACTCAATACCTTCGATACGTATTAAGGTTTTCTCTCATTGATATCGATACATCATGATATATTGATTGGAATGAAAATTACGTTAGTGTCGGCCAGTTTCTTATGTATGTATCGGTTCATAATCGATTCACAATAGACATTGGTAAAATCTATTTTTTTTAAAAGAAAAACTGATATCGTCAATTCACAACTGACCAATTCGGTTGCTATAAAGTTCTTTTTTGTATTCGATGATTTGAAAAGAATCACCACTAGGCATTTGATTTTCGATATATATATATATCACTCAATATTCCTAGTATCGTTACATTATTACACTAATGATACGTCTCCCGATACCAGTGGACACCAAGCTTCTTTGACTAAACTAAAGTGGATTGATTTCATCACACAGCTTCTTTCACTAAAGTGGACTGATTTCATCACACACACATACACTAATATTGTATTTGTCATTAATTTTGACTTAATTAAGACAGATTGGTTTGATTACAAATGTTTATGTTTTGGAGATGTGTGAATTTGTGATAGCTCAGATTCTGATACAAGTGAGCATTCTGACTCACCAGCAAAGAGAAGGAGAAGAGGAGAGGGAACAAGTGGCACTGCTGCAAGTGGAAGCACACCAAACATTGAATTTGGGAATGCAATCTCCCAAAGTGCTACCCTCATAGCAGAAGCTATTCAAGCTTGCGATGAGAAAGAAGATACAAGGCACAGAGAGCTCTTGAGCTTGTACCAGAGAAGACTAGAGATTGAAGAGTCTAAAACTGAGATCACTAGGCAAGGTATTGATGGCCTTGTGGACGCCATTAACAAGCTTTCCAATTCCATCCTTGCTTTGGCTAAACAAAAGAATTAATGAACTTCCCGAAACGATCCTCATTGAAGTAAATAAAGATTTAAACAAGTATTTGAGAGAGAGAGAGATTAATTCAATTTGCTTGTACATAAATGATGAATTAATGATCTCACTTGTATTGTTTGTGGCTTCATGTTGCAGCCACTTTCATTGAACCATTTGAAGTTTTTTTTTTTTTTTTTTTTGGGGGGGAGGTTGTAATTTAGGGGTTCGAACATTTGATCTTCTAACGTTCAAAAAAAAAAAAAAATTTGATCTTCTAACAATGTGCAAGAGTTCTAGCTAACTGAAGTAGTCATTGATTGATTGAATATTTCATTTCTGTCTATTTTATAGGAAAGCTATTAGACACTATGTGATTTGATATTGTTGAATCCTATGGAATGCAAAACCTTCTAAGAATTAAATGTAAAACGAAATTTTTTTTTTTTTTTTTTTTTTTTTTTTGGGGGGGGGCATAGAAAATATGAAACAACAATAAGTGTAGAAGAACTACATAAATGTGCACAAAAAAATTGATGTTGTTCAAATTTATTTTAAATGTGATTATCAATACATTTAAAACGAATATGAACTACACATTAATCGGGTCCAATTGTTTAATCCTTGGCATATGCCATATCCCTTAATGCCATCTAATTGATGGCTTAGATATGGTAGTTGTTGAGGCTAAGAGTTGAACTCTACACATAACATAATTAAAGTGATTAGTGTATTGATTATTCTTATATCCATTGGGGTATATATATATATATATATATTGGTGGTGTTGGTGGTTCCAATGTGGGGCACAGTGGGTATGTGGTGGAGAGATCAACAAGTAATGCGGTGGTTCAACCACCTCTATTGCTTCCTCCACTGCAACATTCAATTTCAGCTCCACCACAAACAGTATTATCCCTCCCTCCACCGCCGCCGCCGCCGCTGCCTCCGCCTCCACCGGTTGCAGCAACACAACCACACAGTCTTCCAGAGTCTCAGCCATTGCCCACAGTAGGTACTCTCTCTCTCTCTCTCTCTCTCTCTCGATGCCAACATTGTATGCCATTAAAAATCAGTTCCTCACTTCCCTTAATCCATTGTATGCAATAGCTTATGAATATTTGAAAATAATTTTTGTTTCTTGAAAAGTAGATTGTTTTTAAAAAATTTATTGAAGGAAATTATATATTTGTGTTTTGAGTAATTAATTGTTCAATCCTTGCTGTCTTTGTTAAGTGAATGGGTGGGTTTTTACCCCTCTAGCAATGGACTTCAACAAAGTCTTTTTTTTTGGTGGGGGGGACCTTCCATGAATAATACATGGCTTTAAATATCACTCAATACCTTCGATACGTATTAAAGTTTTGTCTCATTGATATCGATACATCATGATATATTGATTGGAATGAAAATTACATTAGTGTCGGCCAGTTTCTTACGTATGTATCGGTTCATAATCGATTCACAACAGATATTGGTAAAATCTATTTTTTTTAAAAAAAAAAACTGATATCGTCAATTCACAACTGACCAATTCGGTTGCTATAAAGTTCTTTTTTGGGTTCGATCATTTGAAAAGAATCACCACTAGGCATACCTAGCATTACTGTTCCTAGTATCGTTACATTATTACACTAATGATACGTCTCCCGATACCAGTGGACACCAAGCTTCTTTGACTAAACTAAAGTGGATTGATTTCATCACACAGCTTCTTTGACTAAACTAAAGTGGATTGATTTCATCACACAGCTTCTTTGACTAAACTAAAGTGGATTGATTTCATCACACAGCTTCTTTGACTAAACTAAAGTGGATTGATTTCATCACACAGCTTCTTTGACTAAACTAAAGTGGATTGATTTCATCACACAGCTTCTTTGACTAAACTAAAGTGGATTGATTTCATCACACAGCTTCTTTGACTAAACTAAAGTGGATTGATTTCATCACACAGCTTCTTTGACTAAACTAAAGTGGATTGATTTCATCACACAGCTTCTTTGACTAAACTAAAGTGGATTGATTTCATCACACAGCTTCTTTGACTAAACTAAAGTGGATTGATTTCATCACACAGCTTCTTTGACTAAACTAAAGTGGATTGATTTCATCACACAGCTTCTTTGACTAAACTAAAGTGGATTGATTTCATCACACAGCTTCTTTGACTAAACTAAAGTGGATTGATTTCATCACACAGCTTCTTTGACTAAACTAAAGTGGATTGATTTCATCACACAGCTTCTTTGACTAAACTAAAGTGGATTGATTTCATCACACAGCTTCTTTGACTAAACTAAAGTGGATTGATTTCATCACACAGCTTCTTTGACTAAACTAAAGTGGATTGATTTCATCACACAGCTTCTTTGACTAAACTAAAGTGGATTGATTTCATCACACAGCTTCTTTGACTAAACTAAAGTGGATTGATTTCATCACACAGCTTCTTTGACTAAACTAAAGTGGATTGATTTCATCACACAGCTTCTTTGACTAAACTAAAGTGGATTGATTTCATCACACAGCTTCTTTGACTAAACTAAAGTGGATTGATTTCATCACACAGCTTCTTTGACTAAACTAAAGTAATTAAAAAGAGAATTTTTTTTTTTTTTTTTTTTTTTTTTTTGGGGGGGGGCATAGAAAATATGAAACAACAATAAGTGTAGAAGAACTACATAAATGTGCACAAAAAAATTGATGTTGTTCAAATTTATTTTAAATGTGATTATCAATACATTTAAAACGAATATGTTCTACACATTAATCGGGTCCAATTGTTTAATACTTGGCATATGCCATATGCCTTAATGCCATCTAATTGATAGCTTAGATATGGTAGTTGTTGAGGCTAAGAGTTGAACTCTACACATAACATAATTAAAGTGATAAGTGTATTGATTATTCTTATATCCATTGGGGTAAAGGCAAATGCTAAATAGTGGCATTAAGAAAATAGTTTATATTAGAATTGAGGTAAAAAAGTATTTTGAAAATAGTTAATAATATTAAAAATGTTCCAAAATTAATAAAAAAGTGTTTTTGTTTTGTTTTGCTTTTACTCTTCTTCTTCTTGTGTTCTGATGACTCTTATTAGCAAAATCCTAAAAAGAAATCCTTGACAAAGGCCATGACCAACACAATTTGATTTGTGGGAAAAATTTTATGAAGAATCATCCACTAAAATAATATAGCAATGATATTTTGCAAATAAAAAATATTTTACTAGATTTTTTTTTTAATTTTAAAATGATATACTCAACTTAGTTATATTCTTTTGCATAGTAAGTATATATTTTTATTTGTATAATATTATTAATTAAAAAACACTTAATTCATGCATGTGATATTTATGGCCACTGAGAACAAAGCTCTTTGCCCAATACAAAAGTCTTTATTTTTTATTTTTTATTTTTTAAAGAGTTGTTGATATAGTACACTTGTAAGATATTGTTGCATTCACATAGCACTGTATCAAAGTCTCCAATATATGGGAGGGAATTACATTTTAGTGCCTACTAATTTAAAAATGACTGTAATGCTGTGTTTGGTTGGGAGATTTGGGGAGAAATTTGAAAAGAAAAATGGAAAAGGTAGGTGAAATGTGAATAATTCATGTCTATATTTCACATAGTTTCACACACCTTTTCCCTTTCTCTTTCCAAATCCCTCCCCAAATCCCCCAACCAAACACAGCATAAAAGATCATGGAAACTTTAACGTTGCTCATGTTTCTCTTTTCCCTTCTCATTTTTTCCTCTTCTTTCTCCTTTCTTTTGCCTTCCTTCATCCACCCTTGCCACCCCCAACCTCTCTCTCCCTCGATAGCCATCCCTCACCATTTGGATGGCAAATGCAGAAATCATTAGGGGGTCAAGGAAAGAGCTTAAAATGAAGATGTCAACTTAAATTTGTTTTGGTTGATTTGAAAGTAAAGCTCAATATCATAGATGGCTAGCTAAGAATGTGGCAACAAGGTGAGAGAGAAACTAGTGGTTGCTGGAGCTGATGACCGATGGTGGCCATTGGAGTTACACAAAGAGAGAAGGCGAAAAGAGAGAGAGCGGTTGAATTACGCCCTGTTGATTCGAGCCCTCAAATCCATTTTGAATTAAATTATGCCATCTAGAGTTCGATTCCAATGACCCAATAGTCATTTCCAACTATTTGGAGCCTTCTGCACACATCCGTGCGGTCTGATTTTGTAAATTTCATACCAACAATTCATAGATGTGACATGCAATGCCACATATCGCAACTAGAACAACATTTTTGTCACCGTACGTAGAGTTTGCTCAATGCCGAATTCAATGACTACATCCTATTTGGCGACTTTCTGCCTAATATTGGGATCAACGACTTGGCACATTCGGGCGTTACAAGATTGCTCAACAGTCACATCATATCTAATCGGCATGAAATTTTAACATCAAGATCGTGGGGCTCAAAAAAAATCCTCCATCATTTCCGCTCATTTATTTCGTTACCTTGGCCATTTATTGCTAACCGGGACATCTTAGTTCATTTTTCTCTTTCCACTTTGGGCATATCAGCCATTTATTATCTCGGCACCTCTGCTATGCATGCATACTCAGTCCACTTGATACAAGCATTACAAAGAACAACGACAATTACTTAAGTTCCAAACTCCCGCTCCTTTTCACACAGCTCCAAGCAAGCAACAGTTTTGAGGCAATACACTCATACTACACATTCGGTTACACACTCGGCAATTATTCGCATATTTTTATGCGCCGTCATTATTATAGATTTTATAGCTTTCTACTTTTTGTGGCTAATATACCTGTATTATTTGGTGTAGGCAATCATTGATACAGATTATTATCCTTGCAATGTCTGCAATTGATTACCAGTTGACACTAACAAACGCCTTCATATTTTGGAGCTTTCTGTACTCAGCACATAGAAATATCTCTAGCTTAGCGCGAAAGTCTATATTTTGAAGCAATTTTCGTACTAGGAAATACACTACACCCTCGCCCGGGGGTCATAATACTGCATCTTACACCCTCACCTGGGGGTCATAATACCGCTACTTACACCCTCACGCGGGTGTTATAATACCGTAGCCTACATCCTTGCTCAGGGGTTATAATACCGTGGCCCATCATTACGGAGACTTCTGATGTAGAACTCATGGCATCACTTATGATATGATTGTTTAG